GTCGAGAGTTAGAAGTAATTCTCCATCTTTGTTGTTGTACACATACACCGCCCTGGCAGAGTGTGTGTGTGTGTGTGTGTGTGTGTGTGTGTGTGTGTGTGTGTTCTGTCATTAGTAAATAGAAATGTAAATTTGCTGGACTTGGTGTCGCACTATAAAGGACAGCAGGAGAAAGGGAGAAGGGTAATATGTGCAAACTTGCCTGGATATGTGTATGCTGTTTAACACTTTTTTTATTACTGCTCCTGTAAGATTTCTCATTTTCTTTTCCATTCAGACTTCTTCCTTCTTGGACTCCACACCGTCCCCCAGTAAAGCACTCTTGGAAAATCCATTGAGTGCCATGTTAAGTCTGGTTAAGGAGGAGGCATCAGACACTACCGACATTGCAGTCAAGGAAGAGCCTACAGAGAACAGACCCTGTAGTAGGGGCGAAAGCATACCTCTGTTAGCAGAGATCAAGTCTGAGCCCGCCGATCCGGAGTAGACGCTGCTACAATAAGACGACTTCTGTTTGTAGTTTAGAAATTTCTATTGAGCTGGGGGCGGGGCCTCCGGTTTTCCTTCGTTACTGAATACATTTTTGTATTTGTATTTTTTTCTTATACCAACACAGTTTCATGTGTAATTTCTCTGGACGTGTCAGATAGCAGAATGGACTTGTATTTGTAAAATTTCCTCCTGACTGTAAATTATAAATAAAAATATTTTTGCTATAACCGGAGTGTGATGTTTGCACACCATACAGAGGCTTAAGAATAAAGTGCTTTACTTTTGGTTGACGATGTATCTTTGTGGAAACATTTTTATGGGTTTGACAACAAAGAGATTGCGTGCTGTTTTTTTTTGTGTTTTCCTAGATTACATGTCGGACTAACAACCGGTTGGTTTAAAGTATTCTTTTTTAAATACAGTTTATAAATATTCACTAATCTGGAATCCAGGTAAATGACAAATGGAAGCGTGTCAAAACTCGGAGGAGACCTTTAAGTTTAATACGCGTGTATATATTCCATAAAAAGCTTCTACATCCAAGGTTCAGGACGAGTGACTGAAGGACTTTCTTTCCCATGTGGGGTATTTTTTTTTTTTTCTCCCAGTGTTCTACTTTAAGTGCGTTAGATGCAAAGTATAAAACTGTATTAAGATTAATAAAACACATTGAACTGAACTAAGTTTTTGTATCGCTTTTTATTTTCAGTGTTTGGAGTTGCTGTTGTGAAGATTTAATATTAGAGCTGCACCGAAATAAAATTTCAAAAACGAAACCGAAATAGGTCAGGCCGAAACCAAAAATGTTTTAAAAAAAAAATATTTTATTTTTTATAAACTTTCTATTTGTTACTTTACTTTTAGGGGCTTCGGGGGAAATATTGGGGGTCTAAACAGACCCCTGATATTTCCCTTTTAAATAGAAAAAGGGATTGAGAACACAGAGTCCTCAATCTCTTTTTCTGCAGCCTCTGTCATAAATGAACAGGAATCCTCTATACTGAGTGTTCCTGTTCATTCATAACATGAGGACAGAGTGTGTTTACTATATCCACAATCATGAATGAACAGGAGGTGATGTAGATAACTTCCCATTCATTCATAACTGAGGATATAGTAACCATACTCAATTATTTACAAACACTCTCCATCTTGACAGCTGTCGCAAGAGGCGGAGCGGGGAGGAGAGCTCAGCCTCCTGTGACAGCGCTGGCTGTCTCTGCCCACACACCGCTCTGCCAATCTGTGACAGAAGGCTGAGCGGTGCAGGGAGGAGAGACGCCGGCCTCTCAGCGCTCTCCTGTGCAGCGTTGGCAGTCTGTGACACTTTCCTCCCTGCTGGGACACCGAGCATCACCCAGTGGGGAGGAGAGAGAGAGAAAGGATGCACCACTGTATTGGCCACAAAATGGCACTTTCGGCATTATGCCAAAAAGTGCCAGTTTCAGCCGATATATCGGTGCATCCCTATTTAATACGGTATGCTTTTTCTATCTCGTCCATTGACTGGCACAGCTTGAAGATCAGTCTAGTCATCCTAGATCAGGGTTAGGTAACCTTGGCATGCCATCTGCTCCGAAATTACAAATCCAGTTACACCTCGGACTTTGGGAGTCATGCCTGTGGCTCTCAGTCTTGCATGAGGACTAAAAGTTCCACAACAGCTGGTGTGCTGAAGTTGCCTGCCCTAGATTGCCTAGTAGTGAGCTGTATGCCTCAAAGGACCAGAACCTTGGCCCTGAGCATGCATAAACCAACAAGAAAAAAAATGTATTGGACACTGGGTCCTCTTCCAGTTTAAGGCTAGGTTCACAACGCACGACAGCTGGGACGTGCGTCCCTGTACAATGCAGGAAGCGATTGCCGCGCGACCGCATTGATTTCACTGGTGACATCTGCGCCGCAATATCAGAAAAAAAGGTACAAGTGCCTTCTTTTGTGCGATACACGCCGCGTGGCTGTTCAAGCACGGACAGAATCGCGGTGGAAAACCGTGCAATCCACCCGGCGCGACTGGGGTGCCATTCGAAAATAATGGCACCCACAGCGCGATCAGTTCACACCTTGGAGACTCCTGATCACGTGGCAATCCGCGTGGAATCGTGAGGTGTAGCCTAGGTGTGAACCTAGCCTAATAGAGGAAAAGTAGAGCTTATGCTGTCCGCCAAAGATAAAAGATCACAATACTGGCTGAACATGCACCATAGAGATGGCTGGAGCATGAAACTGCCCAGGACTGGATAGACTACCTCTAGATGCCACAAAGTTCCTGATGTTGACCATAGGTGTGGCCTTCTCACTGGTCAGCGGGTGGGTCCAGTCAATGTCCATTCTCCCAAGGACCACAAAACAGAGTAGGACTGGTGTCCGAATACTAAGGCCCCATTCACACTGAGCGATTTATCGTGCATATTTCTACGCGATATCGCTCTATGTAGCTTCTCCAATCCATTTCAATGGAGCTGGTTCACATCTCGCCGCTCAATATCGCAATATCGCTTGTAGCTCGTCGCTCCTACATGACCCTTTTTTTTTTCTGCGGATTTCGAGCGATTTTGCTCCTGATTGCTTACAGCCCAATAGGAAAAAGTCGCGCGATATCGCACATATAAAATTGTGCGATTTTCATGTCGCTCAGTGTGAATGGGGCCTAAAGATAAACGCCAGGCAACCCACTAAACACAGTTGAGATACAAATAGACAAAACTCCAATACAGAGGTCACCCGCACCAAGATTCCATGCCAGTGCACATCCGTTTTATTGATTCAAACAAGCGCTTTCGGGGCCTCACAGGGGTCAGAAATGTCTGAACCTGATGAAGGGGTCCTTGACCCCGAAAACACTTGTCGTTTGACAACTAACATGGAACCTTGGTGCCGGTGACCTCTGTATTGGAGTTCTGTTGTGAGCGGCTCCATCCGCAGTCATTACGCGCACCTGTTACTTTTGGGATATCCGGTAAGGATTGCGGCAAGTTCCAAGGATACAAGAGGTTTGAAAAGGTGTTCAGTCTTCTGATCCATACTTCTCTTCCAGCCAACAGCTTCACTTTCCCAATTTCTGATACTCCTTGCTGGTCATCTAGTTTTCCTTATCGTCCATTAAGGGACTTGGGAGTTCTTAGACTGTTGGGTTATACTGCTGCCTACAGGAGAAATGGACACTGGCAATAAAAAGTCAGTTGGCACAGGATAACCCCACCCACCACCATCTACCTCAGTTTTTTTTGCTAGTGTGGTCGGAAGAGTGGACGTGTTTTCTACAGCTGTTCTCTGATTGGAAGATTTCTACTATCAACAGCTGCTGCTAGGGTCATGCCGGATATATGAGGTCCCGGATAGTTTATCCAATCGGCCAACGGGTAGATTCATGCCAGATATATGAGGTCCTGGATAGTTTTGCCAATCGGCCAACGGGTAGATTCATGCCGGATATATGAGGTCCCGGATAGTTTTGCCAATCGGCCAACGGGTAGATTCATGCCAGATATATGAGGTCCTGGATAGTTTTTCCAATCGGCCAACGGCGCTGGTAGATTCATGCCGGATATATGAGGTCCTGGATAGTTTTGCCAATCGGCCAACGGGTAGATTCATGCCAGATATGAGGTCCTGGATAGTTTTGCCAATCGGCCAACAGCTCTGGTAGATTCATGCTGGATATATGAGGTCCTGGATAGTTTTGCCAATTGGCCAACAGTGATGATAGATTCATGCTGCATATATGAGGTCCTGGAAAGTTTTGCCAATCGGCCAACAGAGATGGTAGATTCAAGCCCAATATATGAGGTCCTGGATACTTTTGCCAATCGGCCAACGGCTCTGGTAGATTCCGGCTGGATATACGAGGTCCTGGATACTTTTGCCAATCGGCCAACGGCTCTGGTAGATTCCTGCCGGATATATGAGGTCCTGGATACTTTTGCCAATCGGCCAACGGCTCTGGTAGATTCCTGCCGGATATATGAGGTCCTGGATACTTTTGCCAATCGGCCAACGGCTCTGGTAGATTCCTGCTGGATATATGAGGTCCTGGATAGTGTTGCCAATCAGCCAACAGTGATGGTAGATTAATGCCGGATATAGGAGGTCCTGGATAGTTTTGCCAATCGGCCAACGACGCTGGTAGATTCATGCCTAGGTAAAGGAGTTGCTCTGGCAATTTTGTACCAACTACCCTTGGCTTATTGCTTGGTTCATACCTTTGCTCAATTGTTCACTCCCATTGTTCTCCCAGTTGGAGCTTTACCGGCTCCACGATTTCTGAATCAGGTGCTTTCAAAGCTTCAGGGTTCCCATGAGGTCTTTCTTGTGACCTTATCTCAGACATTGGCCTTACTCGTTGACACCACCTCAAGCCACAGGGTTTGATTGCTGGGCGCTCTGTTTTGTATATCTCGCATTCTTCAAATGGACAAGGTTGTCCTATACCTATGCCCTACGTCTGGCCCTCTCTTCACCATAATGAGGACCTCTTTCTGCCTGTCATCACATACTAAGGAAATTGCTCCTCATTATCTAGATGTGGTCAGGGCTGATGTGACTACAATGGCTTCTTTTTGGAAAATGGAATGTCTGTCATTGTTGGATGGTTCTTCAACATTCAGATCACCAGCTCTCGATGGATTATGCCTGGCCAATAAACCCGGACCCTCACTCTCTGCATGAACGCAGTGGTCCCACTGCAGAGGTCCAACACATCTCCTGATGGGTCATACCTATAGTCAGTATGGCTCACCACACGCCTTACAACCTGATTGTACAATCTCCATCAGACCTACCAACAACTACCGTGTTTCCCCGAAAATAAGACAGTGTCTTATTTATTTTTTTTCACGAAAAAAGACACTAGGTCTTTTTTAACGGGAGGGAGCTGCGGCCGGTCTTCACATGTAAAATTGAATTACATGTGCAGCTACCCCGAAGGTAAGACCTAGCGCTATGTTCAGGGATGTCTGTCATATAAGACCTACCACCGAACTACCCTGTTTCCCCGAAAATAAGACCTACCCCGAAAGTAAGACCTAGCACTATTTTTCAAGATTCCTGTAATATAAGACCTACCCTGAAAATAAGACCTAGTTTGGTGGTAGCATGTGAGGGGGAACTTGCAGGAGAGATGGTATCAGCCTGCAGGGACATACTGTATTAAGGGGATGACAGGGGACTCCCTCCGGACAGCGCAGTGACAGGGAGCACTCCAGTACCAAACTTCACCAACTGCTGTCCCCCTGAAGGCACTGCTTAATGTAATGGTACTGTACTGTAATGTGTACCGGTAAATGGTACCGTACTTTACCGCGCTGTCCACTGTCTGATGTCCACACTGCTGCACCGCTGGTACCGCTGTCCCTGATGGCAAAGGAAGCCGGCGCTGTTGAAACCAAGGCTGTGGCTGCGGAGGGAGCAGAGCCACATTAGCCGATATTCCTCTATAGCCCCAGTTACTGTGACAGGCGGAGTGATACCAGATAACTTTGGATTGTTGTACATTTTGTTGCACATTTAAAAAAAAAAAAAAA